CCTTCTCTGACTAGGTACTCGCTTAATCTATTGTACCACATGCGTCCACTTTGTTTCAGTCCATAAAGCGATTTGTTCAGCCTTATGCAGTATTGGTCTCGAGACCCTTTCTTATCTTTATCTTTGAGCTCAATACCCTCTGGTAATCTCATATATATCATCCAGTGGACTTATATAAATATGCAGGCATTACATCCATTAGCCGCAAATCAAGTCTTTTTCTTTATATAGCCAGACTTAGCAAAATTTAAATGTCTTAGCATCCACCACAGGGGAGTATGTTTCTTCATAATCTATCCCCGGTCTTTGTGAGAATCCTTATGCTACAAGCCGTGCCTTATATCTCACGATTTCATTATTCTCATTTCTCTTCTTCACAAAGACCCATTTGTGTCCTACTGGTTTTTACATCGAATGGTGTCCTTAAGGTCGGACCAAACTCATTCCTTTTCTTAATGATTCTTAGCTCCACGTTTTATGGTCTTGTACCATTTAATCAATCAAGTCTTTGAGTGCACTCTAGTATAGACGTGGGCTCCTGATCCTCATTTATATTCATAAATTCAAGTGCTACCTTGCATGCAAAATCATCTTATGTCGACATTTCTTATATGTTCCATTATGTTCCAGACATGATATAATCGATTTGAGATTTATTATGGTCAGGACCTTTAATACTTTGCAGCTTGGCGTCCCAAGCTACATTATATGGTACCTGTACCTTAGAGCCGGCCGGCCTTATCTCCATGTCTGGGATGGTTTCCTTAGTAACCTCGGATTCCTATTGCACCTTTCTTTGATTTTCGAGGATTTTTATCTTTGGAACCTATTGGTCTACCACGTTTCTTTCGTGTGTTAGACTCGGTAGCAATTTCATTGATTCGCTTTTGGATATCAATACGTACTGGTGCATTACAAGCTGGTATGTACGTTTTTGTAACTTTCTTTGGGTCAGCAAAGGAATCTGGCAATTGATTAGCTAGCTTTTCAAATGTATAATCTTATGGACCTCTGATTCTCATGCCAGAGTCCGAGGATCTTGCCAATTTAAGGATGTTTGATTTCATTATATTTCTTTTATTGCTTTACCCAGCTTGTTCGTCTCTCCACCTATAGTAGGAAACTCGGATTCATTAAAATGACAATCCGCGTATCTAGCCTTAAATAGATCACCCGTAGTTGGCTCTAGATACTTAATAATGGTGGGAGAATCAAATCCAACATATATTCCCATCCTCCTTTGAGGTCCCATCTTTGTTTCTATGTGGTGGAGCAATCGGTACATATATGGCACACCCGAAAGTCTTTAGATGGGATATGTCTGGCTCATGACCCATAAGTAATTGGGATGGTGAATATCTATGTTCACTAGATGGCCTTATGCGTATAAGTTCTGATGCATGTAAAACAGCGTGTCCCCAAGCGGCTACTGGGAGCTTCGACCTCATGAGTAATGGTCGAGCTATCAATTGAATTCGTTTAATGAAGGATTCCGCTAATCCATTCTGTGTATGTACATGTGCTACGGGATGTTCCACACTTACCCCCATGGACATACAGTAGTCATTAAACGCTTGGGACGTGAATTCACCGGCATTGTCTAGACGTATAGTCTTAAGCGGAAAATCTGGAAAGTGGGCTCGCAGTCTTATTATCTGGGCCAATAACCTAGCAAACACTTGGTTTCTAGTAGATAGGAGACAAACATGCGACCATCTTGTCGATGCATCAATGAGGACCATACATATGTCTCCTTGTATCCTTTCCAGAAATTTTAAGGTCTCTTTATTTACCTTAGCCGGTGATGGCCTTATAATGAGTTTCCCTTGTGAACATGCTTCACACGTGAGATTCTTAGGGATAACTCTTTTCTCTCTTAGGGTGTGCCCCTTTGAATTAGTTATTAGTTTACACATCATACTATGACCCGGATGGCCAAGCCGGTCATGCCATAAAGTGAATTTCTTGATGAACTCTTTGTTCATTGCCATATTAGCTTCGATCATATCGATTTTAGCATAGTAGAGACCAGTGGATAATGCGGGTATAGTCTCTTAGGACTTTCTTATGTCCTTGGGTGATCTCAATTATATTTAGGAATTCTTTGTTCCCTTCACCCTTTGTTTCAATATGGAAACCATTCAATCTTATATTTTTGAAACTTGACAAGCTCCTCTTCGAGCTGGGTGAATATAGGGCATCGCTTATTTCAAGATGCGTGCCCTTTGATAAAAGTATATGGGCATGACCATGGCCCTCAATAAGACTAGCTATACCCGCTATGGTGCTAATATTGGCATTTTTCATTATGAGATTTAGGAAAATATCTCTTATCTTTTGTGTGGCTCCACTATCCACCACAATTATGTTCTTGTCCTCGGCCATTTCTTATATGGACAAGAATCATGTTCTAAACATAAAATAATATAAAATAAATTCAAGCAAATAACAATCAATGAACACATAAAATGCAAAGAAAAACATAGAGGTTTTGATGTCGAAGTAAGATTTATCAACTTGATTCTTTTATGCAATCAGAAGTTTCATACTCTATTAGATCATCTTGATCATGTTCACCATCTTTATATACCAAATGGGCTTTAGGATTCTTCCCTTTTACACTCTCTTGATAGAGGTCACAACGATGTTTGGAAGTCCTACATATCTTAGCCCAATGGTTTCCCATTCCATATCTATGGTATACTCATTTGGTCGAGTGTTGTGGTTTGGAAATACCACATCGTCCTCGCCCTCGACCACGGCCGGAATTGGGTCTACATCCACGGTTATAGTGGTTCCCATGGCCGGATGAGTTATAGTGGCCACAACCACGTCCTTTCAATACCACATCTATGGCATACTCATTTGGTCGAGTGTTGTGGTTTGGAAATACCACATCGTCCTCGCCCTCGACCACGGCCGGAATTGGGTCTACATCCACGGTTATAGTGGTTCCCACGGCCGGATGAGTTATAGTGGCCACAACCACGTCCTTTCCATCCACCACGGTCACGGCCGTGTGGTCTATCACTTTAGACGTGGTTAGATTCTTTGGATTCTTTCTTATCCTCTGCGGCCTTATTGGCATTAGGTAATGGGGTTAATCTATGAGGTCGTAACTCACTGTTTTTATCTGTAAGTCATTATTTTTTTTTTTTTTTTTTCATCTAGCAATAGACTCATCCACGGACTTATAGTCCTGGATTATGAGACTCTCAATAAGATGGTGGCTAATATTGTCTTGTATCTATCTTTCTCTCTTGGCATTCTTGCCTTATTAGATACATTCACCAAGTCCTTTTGACTTTAGGATAATCTTAGTATCCATTGCCCATTTTAAAATAATTATCTCCTAAGAAATTTAGGGCAGTAAAGTACAAGTTGTAATTCAACATCTACAAGGAAAAGTTTTGAGTCAAAATCATGTAATCGTTAGTGTCATGCGGTATTTTAGACCGAACCATGAATCGATTTACTTTAGGATTTACTTTCCTCTTTACTTTAGGATTAATTTTCCTATTTCACTTATGATTTTAGATTTTAAGATTTCCTATTTTAATTAGGATTTGGAAATTTTCTATTTCTTAAAGTTTTCCTATCTTGAATAGGATTTATGAATTTCCTAATTTAATTAGGATTTAGAGTACAATAGGATTTAGGATTTTATTTAAGTTTTCATGCTTTCTATTAGAATTTTAAAGTTTCCTATTTTATTGAGGATTTTAAGATTCCCTATTTAGGATTTAGGGTTGTTAAGATTTCCTATTATCTAGGGTTTCCTATTTTATTTAGGATTTTAAGGTTTCCTAGATTTTAGGGTTTCCTATTTTATTTAGGATTTTAGGTTTTAGGGTTTTGAGATTTCTTTTAGGATTATCTTTTCTAAGTTTTCTAGGGTTCATGCAATTTTAGTTTTAGGGTGTTAAGCATGTAATCAATCAAAGGAGCAAACAATCTAACAACCTAAACAATCTCAATCAAGCCGATTTAAACTTATGGAATTTTTTTGGATTAGATTCGTTTTAGGTTTTAGGTTTTTAGACCTTTAAAGTTTCGGTTATTAGCTTATGTATTTTCGTTTTGCGATTTTAGGTTTAGACAATTAAAACTTCTCTAGCAACTTAGGCGAGTTTAGCTTAAGCGATAATCAACTTTTTCTAGCAACCTAAACGAGTCAAACAATCGAGCAAACAAGCAATCGGATCAAACAAGCAATCAAATCATACAAGCAAAGCAATCACTTAATCAATCATCATTCGTTTTAGGGTTTCTCTTTGCTTAACTTTCAAGTTCAATTGTTGGTTCTTTAGCTTTAGGGTTTTGATGTTACCTTTCACCTTATGGGGTTGTATGGACTAGAACCGGGAGCTAAAGACCTCGGTAACTCACGCTGCTGCAACGAACCGCAAACAGTACCACGATGAACAGTACCGCGATGAACAGTGCCGCGATGAACAGTACCGCGATGAACAGTGCCGCGATGAACAGTGTCGGCGATGAACAGTGTCGGCAATGAACAGTACGGCGATGAACAGTACCGAGATGAACAGTGTCGGCGATGAACAGTGCCACGATTTTTAGGGTTAGGGTTTTAGGGTTTTCGTTAAGAGCAAGTCGTGCTGATAACGTGTTGTAAACTGTGTTGTTCTATTGATTAATGAATGAGATTTCGATACATATATATACATGATGAGGGGAGACAAATCCCCATTGGGCTAGTAAACCCTAAAGCCCAAAAGCCCACTAAGTACAATATAGGCCGTCATAAGGAGAATCTTCAAGAACATGGGCATGGGCCTTCTAGGACATGGACATGGGCCTTCTAGAATATGCATAAGGTCCACGGTTATGGAGTCCATCCAACATGTGGTTTATAACAAACACATGTAAAATCACTACAAATAAATACCCATTTCATTTACCTCAACAAAAAAAAAAAAGAACAAAAAAAGAAGAAAAATAAGTTACCAATTTTTGGGTTATCATTTAATAAATTAATACTATAGCGTCCAAAGTAATCTCTTATTAAAAAAATACAACCTTCTAAAAGATCTTCAACCCCTACAGATGATTAAATCATTTAATAATAAACTCTTCAATAATTAACTTCACTAACAAAATAAAATAAAGGAATAGCACCAAATATATATTTATCGACCTTTCCAAACATCTCCTCTCTCATGAACAATGACCGGAGAAGAAGACCCTAAAGCAGCAACTCCGTCATTACCGGACTATAAGCCTTTACCTTCCTCAAGTCACGATCAAAACGACGCCGTTCTGATCTCATCACATTCTTCTTTCACCTCCCGACGCCGTTTCATCATCTCTATCAGCCCCGGCTCAATATATTTGAGAGCCTTAGAGCAAAAAAAATTTTTTTGGCCTATTATTATATACAAAGAGAAAATTTACTTAATTTTTAAAAATTTTGCGGAGTTTTTATAATAAAAATTGTTATTTTAAAAATTTTGGGCCTTTTTATACATTTTCTTATAAATAATTAGGCCTCTTAAAATATAATTCTCATATTAATAATATTTTTAAAAAATATTTGGGGCTTTTTTATATGTAAATTTTTTTATAAAAAAAAAAGCCCCGGGCCGTCGCACCTCCGCCCTACCCATCTGAGCCGGGGCTGATCTCTATATTTCTCATATCTTTTGCCTCGATCCTCATCTACATCTTCTGGCCGTCCGATCCACGAATCAAGATCGTACGGGTCAAGATTTCCCACGTGCACGTTCACCGCCGTCCGGTTCCGTCTATAGACATGACGTTGCTCGTTACGCTTAAGGTATCAAATGCTGACGTGTACTCTTTTGACTTCACGGATCTTGACGTCACGATTGACTATAGAGGGAAGACGTTAGGTCACGTGAGTTCTGATGGCGGGCACGTGACGGCTTTTGGTTCTTCTTACCTTGACGCGGAGGCTGAGCTAGACGGCGTTACGGTGTTTCCTGACGTCATTCATTTGATTCACGATTTGGCTAAAGGCTCCGTTGAATTTGACACCGTTACGGAGACTAACGGAAACCTTGGTGTTTGGTTCTTCCGTTTCCCTTTAAAGGTAAGGAACTCGAATTTTACGCAATTATTCGGTTTATTAAACTTTCTACTTTCTCATCATTTTAATTTGACTTTCTAGATTATATAACCATAATTAGATGTGAGATAATTGTATGCAATTTCAAATCAGAGTAATGGTTTTTTTTTTTTTAATTATCTTGATGAACAGGCAAAAGTGGCATGTGGGATTCTAGTAATTACAGTTAATCAGACGATTTCTCGTCAAAGTTGTAGTCCTCTCTAATTTAAGACACATCATTATGATATATTTTTGCTACTGAGATCTTTTTAATCTTCTTGTTTACTTTTTTTTTTTCTTGTAATGCAACTAGAGAATTTATAGTCAACTAATATGTGGAATATTACATTCTTAGACGCTAATCAGATTTTTGAAAAAATGTTAGCTCACAAGTATGTATGTTTTGTTTTACTAGATCTGTTTAGTACATAATAGCATATTAGCATTATCTAAAAAAATGTAAACACATTGGACAAATATTTTACTTCCATGACTTTCGACAAATCTCTCTACTAATTAGAAATTTATCATGAAAAATAACATATAATAAAAAGAGCATGATCTTAACTCTCTAGGCAAAGTTTATATTTGCAAACAATATTTGTTTTGTGATGTACAATTTATTATATAGGAAAAGGGCTAATACATGTTACACTACTCTAAGTTTGATTTGATATATATATTTTTTTTCTGATTTATCTCCTTTTAAATCCTGTTATTTTTCATTTTATTTTTATCTTTTGGGTAATCTCTAAGATTTTCCTCTCTTTCAAATTATCTTTACTCTCTAGGCAAATTTAAATTTGAAAATTTATTATTTATTTTGTGATATACGGCTTCTAATATAGAATATCATTGTTCTTAATATAGAATATCATTGTTCATTGTTTTTAATATAGACTTTTTAGTTGTACTTATTTTGAACTTTGTTGTGTAATCAAAAAAACTTTGGTGATTTATTAAGATTTGGTTCCTAAAACGGGGAAAAATAAAACAAAAAGATGGGAAAAGCAAAAGGAAGCAATTCTTGAGGAAGAAGATAACATGAATAATTAGACTGATGATATAACTGATATCTTTGTTTCAAGTGCCAACAGAAGTGATCAATGTCACAAAATTTCTTCACTTGTTATGATTTTGGGATGATCACCAATAACCGAGTTCAAAATACCATAACCGAATACAAAATAACCAAGTCTAAATTGCTCAAAGCCAATAAGATGTTTGTCCTGATTGGTCCTAAATGCAAGTTGGCTTGTGCAAAACTAAGAATGCGCTTTGCTCGGTTAAGTATCTACTCTTTTTTCATCCGTGAGAATCCAATCACGAACTTCAATTGTCCAGAAGACAGAGTGCTGCTAGTAGAGAAGAAATCCCACGTGATGGCTGCAGCACCGCCATGAACAAATGCCGCGTTGATTGGAACAAGAAGATCACCGCCGCTAGGGCCAGAGCGGAAGCAGCAGCGGCGAGAGCTACCGCCGCCAAGGCCACCACCGAAGACGCCGCGAAGCAAGAAGACATTGATGACTGGAGCTCGACGAAATCGTTGTTGTCCCCGACGCCGTACTGCCGCCATCACCACCACCGACCCCTATAAACGTGTGAGAGAGAGATATGTGAGAGAGAGATGTGCTTTTTAAAATTGTATGTGATGTCACTAGGCCCAAATAATAATAATTAATGTGACTTTTTAATTGTTTTTTTGACTTGCCACAAAAAAATTTCATCTGTTTATGATTGAGTTCAAAATAACCAAGTCCAAACTCTATTGTATTATCCTACTAGAGTCTTATGTAATAAGTAGAAAAGCCAAGAGCACCTTGCTTGAGTGTTGAGATTAGCAATGGCTTGCTAAGTTTACTGCTCTCCATCTCTCCTCGTGAATGCCATGCTCATTGCCTTGGTGTTCACGGCCATCGCCGGAGGAAGAGGCGATAACACAGTCGTGACCAAATCAAAAACTGCCGCACCACCTTCTGCAACTAACGTCCCACCTTCTACAACTAAAGACACAAGACCTGACCAGCGTCTCTTCGTGTTTGGAACTACGTTTGTTGTCTACCTCATGGTTAAAGCTTACGAGATTTAACTGCCCGAGTACTGGTTTCAGTACAAGGTCTTCCTAAACGAGGTCTCCCTATGGATCGGAATCAGTTCCCTTGTTTGCCTGCTCCTTATCACAGCAGAGTTCTTCACAGCTTGGATTGCCGTTCACGCAATAGTGATTGCTATGATTGCTAGGGCTCTTCTCACCAATAATAGGGTTCTGGAGTGTGGGTACATCAAGTTGCTCCAAGCCAACAAGATCATTGCTTTGATTGCTCTTAAAGGCAAGAGCGCTTATGCAAAACTTGATAGGTCCTTTGCTATCTCTTTCTCCACTCGTGAGAATCTTCAAGAAGATCGAGCTCTGCTCTTGGCTCCAGCAACCGCCGTGAAAGACTGCCGCGATAATTGGGACCAGAAAATCTCCGCAGCTAGGGCCAGAGCGGAAGCAGCAGCGGCGAGAGCATCAGACAAATATTTTACTTCCATGACTTTCGACAAATCTCTCTACTAATTAGAAATTTATCATGAAAAATAACATATAATAAAAGAGCATGATCTTAACTCTCGAGGCAAAGTTTATGTTTGCAAACACTATTTGTTTTGTGATGTACAATTTATTATATAGGAAATGGGCTAATACATGTTACACTACTCATAAGTTTGATTTGGTATTTTTTTTTTTTTTTTCTGATTTATCTCCTTTTAAATCCTGTTATTTTTCATTGTATTTTTATCTTTTGGATAATCTCTAAGCTTTTCTTCTCTTTCAAATTATCTTTACTCTCTAGGCAAATTTATATTTGAAAATTTATTATTTATTTTGTGATATACGGCTTCTAATATAGAATATCATTGTTCTTAATATAGAATATCATTGTTCATTGTTTTTAATATAGACTTTTTAGTTGTACTTATTTTGAACTTTGTTGTGTAATCCAAAAACCTTTTGGTGATTTATTAAGATTTGGTTCCTAAAACGGGGAAAAATAAAACAAAAAGATGGGAAAAGCAAAAAGAAGCAATTCTTAAGGAAGAAAATAGCATGAAGAATTAGACTGATGATATAACTGATATCTTTGTTTTTTGTTTCAATTCTACTCACGTATGCTTATTTTCAAGTGCCAACAGAAGTGATCAATGTCACAAAATTTCTTCACTTGTTATGATTTTGGGATGATCACCACTAACCGAGTTCAAAATACCATAACCGAATACAAAATAACCAAGTCCAAATTGCTCCAAGCCAATAAGATGCTTGCCTTGATTGGTCCTAAATGCAAGCTGGCTTGTGCAAAACTAGGAATGCGCTTTGCTCGGTTCAGAATCTACTCTTTTTCATTCGTGAGAATCCAATCCCGGACTTCAATCGTCTAGAAGACAGAGCGCTACTAGCAGAGAAGATATCTCACGTGATGGCTGCAACAACCGCCATTAACAAATGCCGCGTTGTTTGGAACAAGAAGATCACCGCCGCTAGGGCCAGAGCGGAAGCAGGAGCGACGAGAGCTACCGCCGCCAAGGCCACCGCCGAAGACGCCGCGAAGCAAGAATGCATTGATGATCTAGAGCTCGACGAAATCGTTGTTGTCCCCAACGCCGTACTGCCGCCATCACCACCACCGACCCCCATAAACGTATGAGAGAGAGATGTGTGAGAGAGAGATGGGCTTTTTAAAAATTATTTGTGATATCACTAGACCCAGATAATAATAATTATGATTTTTTAATTGTTTTTTTTGAACTGTTTTAGAAACGAATTTACCAATGTTTGGTTCCTGTCACAAAAGAATTTCATTTGTTTATGATTGAGTTCAAAATAACCAAGTCCAAACTCCATTGTATTATCCTACTAGAGTCTTATGTAATAAGTAGACAAGCCAAGAGCACCTTGCTTGAGTGTTGAGATTAGCAATGGATTGCTCAAGTTGGTATTTACTCGGCAAACTGCTAACTCTGAAAGATCAATAATCGTGGATAAGTGTGAACATATAAGAAGAACAAATATATTTAACCTGTGTTACACATCAAACAAATATGTTTCTTCCATGACTTCATCAAATCTCTCAACTAATGCTAAAAGTAACAATTAAAACCATCTAGCAACCGCAGTTAAATTATTTAAGAGACGACACTAAACATTAAACAACCGTCATTAGCAAAATGGATCATCTGAAGACTTTAAAGGAGTGGTTAGTGCAAGTGAATCCTCCATCAATCATCAGATTATGCCTGCTAATGTACCGCGATTCATCGCTCGCCAAAAACAGAACAGCGTTCGCTACATCATCAACCGTCAGTGAAGAGAACAATGTACATATTCAGTGAAGAGATCGTGGGAGATGATTGTAAATGGGCCAGATCCAATATCCGCTTTTTGAGCCCAATAAAATAAGGCTTGTCTTGACAATTTCTTGTCGAAGTTGTAGCCCTGTCTAATTCTAGAAACAAAGTACACATTTTTTTTTCTAAACTTTTTAATGTAATTTTGTAATGCAAGTAGAGATAGAGTCAACCAATATTCAAATTATTACACTATTAGACGCTAATCAGATTTTTGAGCAAAACGTTGATTCACATTTATAGCATTTTGATCTACAAAGCAACAAGTTATTATGTTTGGTTTCACTAAATCATTGTTTAGTTAAATAGCATTATCAAAAAGAAAATGTAACACATCAAACAAATATATTTCTTCCATGACTTTCTACAAATCTCTCAACTAATGCTAAAAGTAACAATTAAAACCACAATAAGCTCCACAGTTAAATTATTTAAGAGACATGATAAATTGACGACACTAAACATTAAACAACATTCATTAGCAAATGAATCACCTGAAGACTTTAAAGGAGTGGTTAGTGCAAGTGAATCCTCCATCAATCATCAGATTATCTCCGCTTATGTACCGCGATTCATCACTTGCCAAAAACAAAACAGCGTTCGCTACATCATCAACCGTCAGTTCGACCCCTTTTAGATTCGCGTTTGCAGCTGCAAAATTCCTGAACCCCACAAATGCATCTTCCGTTCTTTCTTCCTCCGGCAAATGAGCCAAAGCGAGTTTAGTTGCAACCGCGTAAGGCGAAACACAGTTCACACGTATCCCATGCTGTCCAAGCTCGGCTGCAACACTCCTAGTCAAGCCTAGAACAGCGTGCTTGGAACCGACATAAGCATGTGGACCAATGCCTCCCATAACACCTCCCACACTACATAAGGAAACTATCGACCCTTTCTTCTCCGGTATCATTACCCGAGCCGCATGTTTCATGCTTAAAAAAGCTCCTTTCACATTCACATCAAAGATCTTCTCGAACTCACTCAAACTATTGTTGCGGATATCAGGGCACGGTGCTCCGCATAATCCCGCATTGTTGATAAGTATATCAAGCGTCCCAAACTTTTTGACTGCAAAGTCAACCGCATTGCTAATGTCATCTTCCACTCTAACATCTCCATGGATAAAACAAGCCGTCTCCTTCGTCTCACCACTAAGCAGACTTTTACATACCTCGTTTCCGAGATCATCTTGCAAATCAACAATGCAGACATTTGCACCGTGCTTGTGGAACAGACGAACAATGCTCTCACCTATCCCAGTGGCTCCTCCAGTGATCAATGCCACTTTACCCAAAAGCCTGTCACACCAAGAACACAAAATATCAAAAGCATTAAAAAATCGCACCATAGTCTCATAACAATAAGGTTGAGATGTTACATCAAGAAAAGATAATGCCACAAAAAAAAAGGAACTTTTTTCATTAATTGATCTGGGCCACGAAACTACAACGGGGAAAAGAAAGGACCACAAAACCAGTTTTAAAACAGAACGTGCAGAGGAGGTAAGATGGGATCAAATGGGACACAAAATTACAAATCTGAAGTTGAGAGATAAGTAAACAAAGGCAATGTGTATCACTAGTTTATTGAATCATAACTGATCCCAATTTTCGAATATATCATCTTAAAAGTAAAGAGCTCATGAACATTTCAAGATTTGACATGAAGAAATCAAACAGAACCAAATGACTAGATCTCAAATTCTGTCGTGAGCAGAGCACTAAAGAATTGAGAAAAACCACATTGTCTGATTATCAACTGGTGATTTGATTCCCAAAGCACAAAATTTCAGTATTCAAAATGACCCAAGAAGGAAAAGTAAACGAAGATCAAACAAAAAGGGTTGGATCAGAGGAAAACAAAAGTTGGAAAAAGCTTATACCTTTGAGGAGGAAGAGCAGAAGAAGAAGATGGAGTGTTCGTTGACATATTAGCTTTAAGCTCCTTCTTCTTCTAGTTGTTGATTCTCTGAATCGGAGTTTGCGTTGTTTCTCGGCAACATCGCCATTTTTTGGCGTCTGTCTCGGCTATATACGGCTATCGTGGGTTGCATATGGGCCCTATATTTTAAGCCCATTAAAAAGCTTAGCGGATCAGCCTATAGCACATTGCGGATTTTAGAGACTTTTAAGTTGACCGGTCCGATTTAGAAAATTTCTAAAATTCAAAATCGAACCAAAATCCAAACCATCTATCTATACTAGTATTCTTGCAACATTTTGGTGACGGGTGAGTAAAAATTTTTCTGGATATATCGGATACCCGACCCGTTTTTAAAATTACTTCACAAAAATTTTGTTGGGTCGAATTATATTTAACCCAACTCATACACCGGATATTCCATATTTAATAATTTAGATATTTAGAAGATTTGATTAAGATTTATAATTATGATTCTCCTATCATCTTTGTTTGATTTGTTTTGAACTGTTTTGAATCATCATATAATACATAAAGTAAAAAAAAAAATCAATTTTTCTACATATACTGTGATTCGAAATTTTAAAAACGAACATATATTATCCAATTGACGAAAATGTTTGTTCAACGTTCAACATCGATTAAAATATTTAGACAATGATTCAGAATCATATCATAAATAAGAACATTAATAAAATAAATGAGTTTTTTGGCCAGACGGGTTTGGCAGAACGGGTTTTTGAATCAACAATAATAAAAAGATTAAAATATCATTAACCCGCCGCTTTAATACGGATTAATTCTTTTTTTTTTTGTAATACCACAAATATTAGACATACTAAATCAGTCTCATTTAGAAAAGATTGTATAAAACCAAAAATTGTCCCGTGGTATAATGTCTCGTGGTCTTAGAGGGTGATATGATTTGTAAACTTTTATATATAATAAATAATCATTAAATTTTAAAATAAAAACAAATCACGGGATGGGTTAAGAAATTACGGAACGGATTATATTTCGGAAAGGATTTATATGACAGACGAATTTGAATCAATATTTATATACCGCTTTAATACGGGTTAAATCCTCAGTTTATTAATAATTGTCTCGTGGACTCGTGGTATACCGTTACTTAATAACAATTGTAAACTATGATATAAATAAATATGTTATAAGGAGATACAATTTACAAAATATTTTTATACTAACTTTAAAATTAAATCATCCCGCGGTGTACCGCGGATTAAAATCTAGTAATACAGATACAGTATTAGAGTTTTAGGTCACTTTATAATAATCATGGGTCATGATTTCTTGATGAATTTCACAAATGTAATTATGTTTTCCCATATTTCTCTAGTCACAGTTGCATATCTTAATGAATTTCACAAGTTGAAATTTGCATTTAATTTGATGTTTCGAGATGTCTTAACTTTTTTACCAATCCATTTCGACACAATCTCATTATAAGATTAATCTTGAGTTAGTTTTATTAGATCAATGGTTGATACATCTTTTACGAAAACTGGAACTCCGAACCCATGTGAAAATGCGTAAATATATATACATGTCACGACACGTAACACCATTTTTTTATGAACCGTTTTTAAGCCGAAAAAGCTAATTAATTATACAGAATTCTTAGTAACCACGTATTCCTTAAAAAAGATTATTGCTGCCGATTTTTTCGAACTTTGTCGATCAAACAACATCGTTATATAAAGATTCTGACAACACAATTTCTACTTTGATTGAAATACTTAGGAAATTAAAATAACCATGAATAATAAAAATATAAAACTATAATTATTGTTTACATGATGAATTGATGATATGTGTTATTTGTGGAGGGATGAAGATGAAGATGAAGGAAGCCATTGATATTCATGTTGATGATACCTACACTTGAACGATCTTGGATGCTTCGACGGTGAACACACACACTTCTTCTTTCCACCGCCACCGCTACGGTGACCAGCGCTGGCTTCCACCTCTGTCGCGGCCGTCACTTCTGCCACCGTCGTATTTTCGTGGAAGTTCTCCGGAAGAATAACAAGAGGTGGAAGAATTTTGTAACACATTTTTTTGGTTTCACACTCCACACAAAATTTTAAAAGATTGTTCTTATTTAAGATTTTTTTTGTTTGTGGTTTACCAAAAGAAAAGTCGAGTATAAATACTAGTCACTCTTGATGACAAAAAAAAAAAAAAAAATACTAGTCACTCTTTTGAGAATTAAATTATTTAATTACATATTTATCTTTTAGGTATTGTGTAGAAGAGATGTCGCCAAACAAAATTTCGAACGTCACACGTGGCTAATGGTTTTGATGCACGTCTTGAGATTTGTGTTTAGAAAGAAACCATGAGGTCAGAAATTTGTTCTAGTGTATATCCGATCTTATGAAATTTTAAGGAAATAGTTTATAGATATTGTTATGAATTTTAATTAGCCAAGGAAAAGAATATTATTAAAGTAAGTTTTTTTTGTGAAAGATGTGAATGGTGGACCATAACTCTTAGATGAAACAAAAATGGTTTGGATATTTATATGGTAAAGAGAAAATGAAGTGATTGGAGAGGATAAGCGGTGGGAGTGGGCCGATTACGACATCACTTCCTTTCTCTTTGGGCTTCTCATTGTCACTCATCTTCTTTAGATAAACTTACCATTTTGAGGTTATATATAACACAATTCACAAATCACAACAACGAAAACTATATCTTATAATAGGTAAAAAATATCGCGATTGGTCATTTGAAACGTTTATTAGTTTAAAACTGTTATTTATCAAAACAAGAATGTGCGAAAAAGTGTTTTACGTAACATCTACTGCTAATGGTTTGTCCCAAATCCAAAGAGATTATGAATTAAAAATTAAAAATATCTTTGTTAAAAAATGTATTGTAATAATTAATAAACACTAAAATTTGTAAGATTTGATAACTTTACGTTTGTATTGTATTTAATTTTATGTCAAGTTTAAAAGGAGCAGTTAGATTTATTTTTTCTTAGTTTTGGATATGATTCTTTTGAAAGTTTTGGCCTACTTTTCTTAGTTTTGGATATGATTCTTCTGATCTTGATATTACTTTTTAGTAGAACTATTAAAAATAAAGAAATGAATAAAAAGCTAATATGAGTGTACAATATAAGTTTGGTATTAAATAATTGCGACGTTCAGTTTAATGAAAGTTTTGTTTCATGAGTAAAAATGTACATAATCCATATCTAATAACATTAGATTTTATAAAAATGAGATAATCAATGATAGCTAAACTTTTTGAATAACAAGGGATTTAGAATAAAAGTGGATTTTTATATCTTTGGGGAAGAAAAAAAAAACTCCAAAACATTGAAAAATGGATATGGAAATAAAGAAAGATATTAGTTTATTTTTTTTAAAAAAAAAAGATGAGTGGATTGATGTAAAAATTTACTAGTTGAAATTACTCATGCAAGTTTTATATCAAAAACTTATGTAACGAAAGAGAATCAACGCAAACATAATCTTAATTAGATAATATCCAATAATTAAAAAAAAAAACTTAAAAAAGAGAGGCTCCAAAAATAACAACCACCACCATATAGAGACTACAATCTATGAACATTCCACGAAGAGCTTGATACACAACAACTCCTCTTTCTAAAAGCTTCTCTGCATCAGACCAATTTTCTCCACTATTACCATCTTTACTCTTTCCTTCATCTTCCATCTCATGGCTCAATCCTCCTCCAGAAGTTTCCATGGTGAGATGAGACATTACAATAGCACAATCTGTAAGAATAAGCAACCAAAGAGGTCTCAAAGCTAAGATAGTGTCTGAGCTTATAATGTTCAATCTCGGGAGTAAAACCACAAACGCGGCTATTGTGAGAGAGCTTAAACTCCGAGTTCTTTCTGAGCTTATGATGCTAGCATTGAGTTTCTTGGAGCTGCAGAAACTCCTAGGTCGTTGATTTTGACTCTTTACTGATCTTGTTGCTTCTTCTGGTTTTGTTGGTTCACTTTTTAAGGGTTTGTGAAGAACAGTCGAGAGTTTTGGTTCTTCTGATCTTGCATTTACTTCCTCTGCATTCATGCATGTCAGAGACAACAACCATTTAGGGTTCAATTTCAGGTCTTGATTGTTTCACTCGCAAATTGTGCAATCAATTTATAGTGTCTATCATATAAGTGTCTACATATGTGAAAATATAAAATACTACTTTCTCATAAAATATTTTTCTAAAGTTTTAAATACGCAATGCGATATGTGAAACGCAACATTGAATTTATACAAATTACAATTAAAGTAAGTTTGATTCAAACAGTAAAAATTATAGTTTCACATTTTATTCAAAATATGATTTATGATTGTGATTGGTAACTTGTGTTGACATTAATTTAACTTGAATTATGGATGCAATTACATAATTAACAAAAAAAATTTTGAACTTCAGTTTGAGTTATATTGTATTATGATTTATTTACAATTTTGAGTCCTAAATAAATTTGAGTTAGTATATATATATGTTTTTTTTAACATGTTAACACAAACAAACAATGTATCATATAATATTACATGAGAGAGCAAAATATAGTTTTAATTTTTGTACCTTTGAATTGATACTTAAGAGATGGGCTTTCTTTAATAAGATGATGATCAGATTTCGTTTGTGGCATGAAAGATTCGCTGTATGTGCGGTTGTGAGAAGCCGATGATGAGGAAGAAGACGACGGTGACGAAGGATCAAGATTATGTAATTGGCCTGTGATTAAAGCTAAACGATCTGATCCTCTTTCCATTATTCTTCTTCTCCTTTCTTCTCTATCCATCACCATTTTTACTAACAAGAAGAAATGAAAAACAATGGAGAAATAGGAAGAAGTTTTATGTTTCATTCATAATTTTTTAAATCTCCAAAATAGGTTTTCTGAAAATAGAAAGAGATGCTAATGAATAGTTCATTATGTCTAAATGTAGAATGTATAGAAAGATGAATTCTTCCCTATGTTCCAAATATATCTAGTGGGAGAGTACTTTCTACATCTACAGTGTCCACCTTAATTAGTAAAAGTCAACAATTTAACATCTCTACAATAATTATTTGAGAAGTAGAAACGCACCATATTGAAAGTTAGGGCATTGGAGGCCTGTGGTTAAAAGTTAGAATGATTTGTCCTAAACACCCTTAATGAATTGTTCTTCTCGAAATTTCTCCTTCTTCGTAATTAGGGGTATATAAGTCTAATCGTGTGTTGATCTCTATTATAATGTCCTAAACACCCTTAATTCGAAAATTTTTGTTCTTAGTTGTTAAGGGTATATAAGTCTAATCGTGTTTTGTGATGATTAGTCTTAATCACCCTTAATTTTTTTTATTTTATAGTATGATCGCTGGGGATATGGAGGTCATAATATCTCGACTTTAATGATTATGGAATCTTAGCTTAAATTTATTTGTTAATTTTTTGGATAATTCTATAATTTAGCAGTTAAAATTCGTTTTTGTTAGTTTTCTGATTTTGTTTCTAATTAAAAAGTAAAATTTCTTAAGATAATGATTGGTGTTTGCCCTAATCTTAAAGCTATATATATTGTTGATCGGCCAGAGGATTAGGTATTATTTTTCTGTGGCCATTAGATAGTTTTCACCGTTATGGTTTTTTTATATAGCTACTACGATTCTGATGAATCGAGTTGTTTGTCATGCAAATATTGTTTTTATGGACCTTTAAAGGTCGTGTGCATATTGTTTGTGTTGTTTGTTTTATTTTTTTGCATTATTCGATGATTTATTGTTTTGCTAATTTGTTGTTTTTGGTGTGTGTTTCAGTTTTGTATAACGTGGGAGGTTCCATCGACAAAGCTTTCTGACGAAGGTGGTGTTGACGAGCAAAGAGCGAGGTTTGGGGAGGTACTTCTATAGTTTTAATTTGTATATTTTTATATTTATTTACCCATATACATTTATGTGTTTCTTCCTGTTATCGTATATACTTTTATATGCGATTTTATTGCGTTTTATTTTTTAGTATTGATTTATAATTAAATTGTCAAATAGTTTTGAGTTTATGTACAAGGTTTGACATCTTATTGTTTGATTTTCATCTTACCGTGATTTTGAAGGTACTCGATGAACTCATATCTCGGTTTGTGTCGGTTTATTGGAAACAGGTATTTCTCTTATTTGTATCTAATATGTTGGTTATTGTGGATCGGTTTTAGTTTGATATTAATTTTCTAACTTTTAAATGATGATTTGGCTTTTGTTTTTTGTATATATATTTCGCGATAATCAAATGTTACGGGTTATTCTTATTTCGTACCGTTGGCTTAGGTAACCGCTGGTGTTTCCTTCTCCCGAAGATGCACGAATGATATGTTTTATTTTAATAAGGTATTTTGTCGAATCTTGTGTATTTATTATGTAACGTAATAATCGTTTTATGTTTAATTTATATATTTGTTTCTCTGATGTTTTAGACCACACGGGATTGGCGTAGAAGAGTTGTTGCTCCGTCGTGTTTTACGGATCGCGTGGGCTTTTGTAAGCATGTATGTTTGTTCTCTTATTGTCTTATGTGTCATGACTTGTATATATAGACATCAGAATATCTTACCATTCTATAAGGTATGATTTTAATTGTTTTGTTTGTTTGTAAAGGTTTTGAGTTGGCTGAAGTATTCATTGCGACCGAATATTTTGAAAGAGGTATGTTGTGTGTAGTTTACGTATTTGTTAGATCCTATGTCCTATTATTATAGATGTCTTCGTGTTTTCTAAATTATTTGTTTGTTTTCTATTGTCTACTTATTTTAGGGGGTTTTTTTTTTTTTTTTTTTTTTTTGATGTAGAGGACTGAGATTGGAAGCAAAGCTAGGAGTTACAGCAGTATCTATTTGTTGTTTAGTTATATTGCTAAGGGTAGTGATGTATCTGTTGATAGATACGGATCATATCCTTTGGTGTTTGGTATTGATCAAACCGTACCAAATTTGGATCGGGGCCTATA